ACTTACCTGGTCCATCGAATAAAGGTCTTGAAAAGAGTAGGAGTTGGAACTTCACTTCCAATCAGATTTATGTAATCGGTCGTAAATAAATTGCTTCTAAGCTTTCGTTCTTCTATGACTAGATATAATCTTGAGCCATTTAACCCAAATTGCATGTAGCTCAGAACATCTGCGAGTGCTTAATACACACTCGTTACAACTTAAAACATGTGTAAATCTTAGCAGAGGGTCTTAGCATATTGCGTTGAATACTCTGCAAGTTTTGCTTTAGTAAATGATAAGACTCAAGTAATCCAGAATTTGTACAACAGACAATGTTAATCCAGATGATAGGAGGATGTCTATGGGCATATGTAAGTGTATTTGGAGCAGCTAAGGCTGCTACAAAGCTGCTTTAGAAAGTTCTTATTATCAACGCCCCATCATTCAGCGACATATTGTGTTTTCCAGCAATTTCCACGGAATTCTCGGGGATGGTATGGCCAATTTGTTATCTTTTATTCTTTACTAAGGATTTCATGAACACCTGTACTCTAATGAGAGCTTTTCACGAGAAAACAATTCATTTCAGAAATAAGAGTCACTCTACTAGGAGCGATGGTCTACCGCCTCTTCGTGGTGCGGGGGTGACTCTGGGTGTCGAACTGCGAAGTACAGCGGACTTATCCCCCAGCAGGGTCTCCGAAGCTGAGAAGGAGTTCGACGTTTTCTGGTTCTGCGGATATCCAGCTAAGAGTAAGCCATGCCAGAAGTACCACCGTCTGGCTGATTCAGTCGCTCGGTTTCTCCCTGATTCACATAAGATCAGCGACTGCCTGTGGCGAACGCTTGGCAGGCCCTGCTAATGTTTAAGAAGAAGCCCTTCATTGCCCGTACAACATGTAAGCGAAAAAGAAGCCCTGCACACTGAATCACTGCGACGTCGGATGTCATCAAGACCAGTATCAAGTTTCACAAGCCGCCATGGATTTCGGACCAAAGGACACGTCAACGACTTGCCATGGAGATTGTCTCATGCTCTGCACCTACAACGCCAGGACAGCCTCCATCAATGACGATTTTCACGCCCTCTCCGAAGCTGCAGAGCGCATCATCTATCTATTACGTACCAGGAAGACGGACGTGAGGCAGCTGAGTGATGGCACACACATCATTCGTGATGAAAAGGTTCCTTCATAGAGCGCTGGAGGCGTTTTATTTGTCGCATACCCATCCGTTGTCCATCTTGCCGATTCGCATGAGATCCTATCACCTCGCCTGGCTATCCTTCGACTCCGTCCTCT